TAAGTATGCTGAGATGAAAAACAAACAGCACCTGCTGCATCTATTCAATTAAAACAGATTTAACTGGTGGAACTATATGTGCTCTACACTTTGTGCGCCTACTTCGAACACGGCGCGTCAGTGACAGATGTACGAGATATATTTTGTATTTCGTCAATTCAAGGACCACTGTAAGTATTAACAAGTTATCACACATATATCAATCTTCACGTCGACATGACTCCTTTTGTTTCTTGGAATGTTGGCCGATTGTCATTTTGGTCACCTAACGGTTTAACGTTGGTTGATTTATATTTTTAAATACAATGAAAAATCACGAAATATGAAGATGAATTCGAAAACCACTGATCCATATATTGGTTACATATTGTCAAAGACCAATTCATTTCGCATTTTATACAAATAAGTCATCCTCCGTATCCTTTACTTGGCTCAAGAATAACAAGGAGAACTGCAAAACGAACCGGCTAAAACACCGTATTTGAGGACAGTAGGTTCTCCACGTGCAACCGGAGAATCCATTGCACCAAAACAGGGTGCAGTGGAGTTCGTTCATCGAACGGCAGTCAGTTGGCAGATAGCGAACACACAACCGTTAAGTCGACGCAAAAACGTTCCACCCCTGCTGTTGTCATCAACAGATTCGCAGGATCAGATGTCATTTTTCTGAAATTTGTTCAGCAGTAGATCACAGCTGCTCTCGCATAAATCCTATATTTTCACCGTGATGAAGATATTCAGCTTCACATGTGAGTACATTCACGTTTTATGATAAAAATAGAGTCAATAATTCTTTAAACACACAACTGTTGACACAATAGTATACGTTTGCATTGATTGTATTGAAATAATCCCCTTACAAGAATAACTTCAACATCTGTCTTTTTTAACTGTCTTTGTCAACTAACTGAACTTATTTGGTTTATCAATAATTTCAGTTAGTCCAATATCATTAAGTATTTTTTTAACACACACAATTCATGGAAAATTAGTTGTGCATGTGATACTTGGGCCATTTTGGCAAGTAAATTTGTGCCAATAAGTTATTATACGTTTAAATAGTGTGTATATATATATATATGCTTTTGACACTGTGGTCAATAATTTTAAATGTATGTTTTCTATTATATCTAACTTTTATCTGAACATTAAATTGATTGGAGCAACCACAGTGTCAAAAGCAGTAAGAAGAGTGGTAGGTTTACATTTCAAGCAAACGAGACTTAAATTCATACTGTGCTGGATTGCAGAGCTTGTCATTAAAAAACAATAGGTTTGGCATACTTGGATGTTTGTAGGGCTATCCCAAAACACATTTTGAATTTCCTTTGCAATTTTACAAGATGAATGTACATATGGTCTGTTGTCAGGCGTACATTGTTGGTATGATATTTACGGGTACCCGAAAAAAAGCGTGAAGTGACATGCATTCTTCAAACCATCGGGTTGTGTTTTCGACCTTCAGTTTGCAGTGTTTCGACGATTGTTTGCAGCCTAGTAACGTTTTGATAACGTCTGTAATTTTGTTGTTGGCAATATCAAATCCATTTTTCAAGTATATACTGTATTCTGCATGGCATTTATATGTTAAGTGGGTGTAAAATATGCAGCAAAGTTGATCTAAGTAGATCGTGGGGTGTTTATATGTTTGTACCATTACGTCTTTTCTTAACGTGAGGAGGTAAATCTCGCGAATACGCTTGACAAAACCCCGCGAATACACCGGTAAGAATTGGTCTTCAGCAACCCATGTTTGTCGTACCAGGCGATTAACAGGATTGGGTGTTCAGACTTGCTGACTTGGTTGATGCATGTCATCGTATCCCATTTGCGCAGATCGATGCTCATGATGCCAATCACTTGATTGTTTGATCCAGACTCGATTATCTACAGACCTCCATTATATAACAGGAATATTGCTGAGTGTGGCGTTAAAAAGCTAATATAAGATATACACTTAATAAGCCCGAACAGATAAATTGTTGTTCAGAAAATATGTTAGAACACAGTCAGTTTCAACCAGGCAATTCACAATCAAAAGCGCGTGTTAAGTGACTGATACTTCCAATCACATACATACTCACGACGGAGGTTATCATGAAAGGGTTTTACACATTGTACCAAGTGGAGGAAATGAGCCCGCTTGTACCACTAGGCTGTCATATTAAAACAGAATGTCAGTTCCTAAAACCTAAATAGGCATTATATTAACCTTTAAGGAACACTATTCCTGATTACGACTCAGCGGTGCACTCTCTAGTCCCAATGAAGCCATAAAGGAAGTCATTGTTCCCTGATTAAAACATTTGCACTGATAGTCAGAACAGTTTTTACGTTTTAAAGAGTAAGATGCCAAGAGATTAATGGAGATGAAACCCCAATAATTTGACATTTCGTCTTTGTCTTCTGTCTAATAGAATGAAAGGATGGATAATAATTGATCTTTCTGCTTTGCAAGTGTTCTTACATGACATGAAGAGACATGTGACATTTTGACGCATAGCACGCGTTAGGTTATAACCGTTTTCCAAATTAGAACTTGATTTTCTTGAACTTTAGCAAGAAACGTTTAGGTCTGTTCTGAAAAGCTGACAGTAACGTAGCTGTTTCACTTGAACCCTCTTACAAGATAATTACTTATAGCACTGCTGCCTGAATTAAGATTGAATGGACATATGTAACTGTTGCAAAATAAGGACAAACACCTTAGAAAATAACCCCATTCGTATAATCACGAAATGATAGCCTTCTCAAGATCAAGGAATAAACTACTTCACAAGATCAGGGAATAAACTACTTCACAAGATCAGAGAATAACCCACTTCCCAAGATTAGGGAATAGACTACTTCACAAGATCAGGGAATAGACTACTTCACAAGATCAGAGAATAACCCACTTCCCAAGATCAGGGAATAACCCACTTCCCAAGATCAGGGAAGAAACTACTTCACAAGATCAGGGAATAAACTACTTCACAAGATCAGGGAATAACCTACTTCACAAGATCAGGGAATAACCTACTTCACAAGATCAGGGAATAAACTACTTCACAAGATCAGGGAATAACCTACGTCACATGATCAGGGAAAAACCTACGTCACATGATCAGGGAAAAACCTGCGTCACATGATCAGGGAATAACCTACGTCACATGATCAGGGAATAACCAACTTCCCAAGGTCAAGGAATAAACTTCTTTACATGATCAGGAATAACCAATTTTACAAGATGAGTGGGAATAACCAACTTGACAAGATCAGATAATAACCTACTTAACAATCACAAGATCAGGGAATAACCTACGTCACATGATCAGAGAATAACCAACTTCCCAAGGTCAGGGAATAAACTTCTTTACATGATCAGGAATAACCTACTTTACAAGATGAGTGGGAATAACCAACTTGACAAGATCAGATAATAACCTTCTTAACAATCACAAGATCAGGGAATAACCTACGTCACATGATCAGATAATAACCTACTTAACAAGATCAGGGAATAAACAACTTCACATGATCAGAGAATAACCCACTTTACAAGATCAGGGAAAAACCTACTTCACATGATCAGGGAATAGCCTACGTCACATGATCAGGAAAAAACCTAAGTCACATGACCAGGGAATAACCTACGTCACATGATCAGAGAATAACCAACTTCCCAAGGTCAGGGAATAAACTTCTTTACATGATCAGGAATAACCCACTTGACAAGATCAGATAATAACCCACTTTATAAGATCAGATAATAACCTACTTAACAATCACAAGATCAGGGAATAACCCACTTGACAAGATCAGATAATAACCCACTTAACAATCACAAGATCAGGGAATAACCCACTTGACAAGATCAGATAATAACCTACTTAACCATCACAAGATCAGGGAATAACCCACTTGACAAGATCAGATAATAACCTACTTAAAAATCACAAGATCAGGGAATAACCCACTTGACAAGATCAGATAATAACCTACTTAACAATCACAAGATCAGGGAATTAGAAGAGAGGACCAGAAACCAGTGATTGATATTCTGAGCAACCATCCACGTTGTCGGGGTCGATGACAGGCAATCAACCAAGTCACCGAGCTGACCACCCGATCCATGTAGTCGCTGTTTATGATCAGCACAGGCTGCTGGGGACCTATTCTAACCCTGAATCCCCACGGGGTTGAGAGGGGACAAAGCCTTGGTTTAGGTTTTGCGTTGTGCTGGATAAGGTGCACCCACTGGTGTCAGTGCATGTAGACGAGCGCCTCCATCTGTGGCGGCATTGAATCAATATCACACATGACCTGGTCCCTTACGCATACATAACCTAGTTCACAAGATCAGGGATACCTCATAATGGCCATGCTCTATCCTACTGCTGGACCAAACCATGGCGGATCCTTTGTGTGATGGATAATCTCTCGCGAGTTTCTTATGTAATCCGAACAAACGTACAGTCTAACGCCCAACTCCGCCCAACTCCGCCCAACGTTTGAATAAACACCCTTCATCTCGCAATATTACCAAACATATATTCAGATAACCGCATACTTAAATTGTATTTGTATGTTATTGGTTGAAATATTCATGTGAGTATTTGACTTTCAGAAGGCTTATTCTTTCGAAAGAGAAAAATCAATAGCCATTCACGTTAAATGAGTATCAAAATACGCGACGAATATCTGATAAAAAAATCGTTTGTTTTCATCGAGGAGTACATAAGCCCTGGCTTGTTTCAACAAACATCATCAGGTTACATTTATATATGTAGAGGCGGGAGTAGAAATTGATTTTGTGTCCACTAGGTGTTGTTTTATGGGAAACAGACCTAGTGAACATGGAAGAAAATCGTATCTGAACAGACTCAAACGCTGGTGTCACAAGAGGTCCCAAGTTCCTAGTGATTGTAATAGTGTACATTTAAATGAGGTTTTCTTGGTTTTCCTGATTGAACCTCGATGCCGTGTTATATCCACCATGCTTTGCTCGTCTCTATTATCTACATGCCTGTGTAGTATAGTTGGTATAAGGCTGACAATGTCAGGCCATCACAGACTGTCATACAGAAGCCATCACAGACTGTCAAACAGAAGTCACCATAGACTGTCATACAGAGGCCACCATAGACTGCCATACAGAAGCCACCATATACTGTCAAACAGAAGCCATCACAGACTGTCATACAGAAGCCATCACAGACTGTCATACAGAAGCCACCATAGATTGTCATACAGAAGCCACCACAGACTGTCATACAGAAGCCATCACAGACTGTCATACAGAGACCATCACAGACTGTCATACAGAAGCCATCACAGACTGCAATACAGAAGCCATCACAGACAGTCATACAGAAGCCATCATAGACTGTCATACAGAAGCCATCATAGACTGTCATACGGAAGCCATCACAGACTGTCATACGAAAGCCATCACAGACTGTCATACAGAGACCACCATAGACTGTCATACAGAAGCCATCACAGACTGTCATACAGAAGCCATCACAGACTGTCATACAGAAGCCATCACAGACTGTCAAACAGAAGCCATCAAAGACTGTCATACAGAAGCCATCATGAACTGTCATACAGAAGCCATCACAGACTGCCATACAGAAGCCATCACAGACAGTCATACAGAAGCCATCATAGACTGTCATACAGAAGCCATCATAGACTGTCATACAGAAGCCATCACAGACTGTCATACGGAAGCCATCACAGACTGTCATACAGAGGCCACCATAGACTGTCATACAGAAGCCATCACAGACTGTCATACAGAAGCCATCACAGACTGTCATACAGAAGCCATCACAGACTGTCATACAGAAGTCAGGATAGACTGTCATACAGAAGCCATCATAGACTGTCATACAGAAGCACCATAGACTGTCATACAGAAGCCACCATAAACTGTCATACAGAAGCCATCATAGACTGCCATACAGACGTCATAATGTCAACTGTGTTTCTGTACTTTCTTTATGTAATAGTAAAGACTTCATTAGTTACACACCGAGTAATTACACATTCGGCAACCTGGGATACAAACAGTACAATGACAATTTGAGCGCCATGAAATTTCGCTAATACCGTTGACAGAATTTTATATAATGTAACATGTATTAAACATGTAAGGCTCTTTCTGACATCTTTTCAATCATTTTCCCCTGGACCTGAAAGGGAGACCTGATTGATATGAGATCACACTGTCATCAAGTAATATATTCATCTCACACGAACATGTTGTTCATTCCGACTTTCAGAGATTGAACAAAATGACAATCGCAAATAGTCTATATGTAACTCCATACACACAAGTACAAACACAGAAAATGAAAACTGCCCGAAAAGTATAACTGAGCTGATAAAGGATCGATTGATTCTACCTCAAGTGTTTTTTTCTCTTTATGAAACCTGAAGTTTTGAACATGATGAGTTAAATATTACGTGTATTTATAAATGTTATATAGGGCATATGTCTAATAAGGGAATATGTCTAATCAGGGAATATGTCAAATCAAGGAATATGTCTTATTAGGGAATATGTCTAAAAAAGAAATCACGGAATAAGTCTTATCAAAGAATATGTCTAATCAGGAATATGTCTAATCAGGGGATATATGTAATCAGGGAATATGTCTTATAAGGAAATATGTCTAATCAGGGAATATGTGTAATCAGAGAACATGTCTAATCAGGGAATATGTCTAAAAAGAAATCAAGGATTATGTCTAATCAGAGAATATGTCTAAAAAGAAATCAAGAAATATGTCTAATCAGAGAATATGTCTAATCAGGGAATATGTCTAAAAAGAAATCAAGGAATATGTCTAATCAGAGAATATGTCTAAAAAGAAATTAAGGAATATGTCTAATCAGGGAATATGTCTAAAACGAAATCAAGGAATATGTCTAATCAGAGAATATGTCTAAACAGAAATCAAGGAATATGTCTAATCAGGGAATATGTCTAAAAAGAAATCAAGGAATATGTCTAATCGGGGAATATGTCTAAAAAGAAATCAAGGAATATGTCTAATCAGGGAATATGTCTAAAAAGAAATCAAGGAATATGTCTTATCAGGGAATATGTCTAAAACGAAATCAAGGAATATGTCTAATCAGAGAATATGTCTAAAAAGAAATCAAGGAATAAGTCTAATCAGGGAATATGTCTAATCAGGGAATACGTCTAATCAGGGAATACGTCTAATCGGGGAGTATGTTTACTCTCTCGAATTTTCAGGGAATGTATAAATTTAAACATTTCTTTGAGAGGCATTTAGAAGTTGGAGTACTAAGAAGGGATGAGAAAAAAGGATGAAAAACTTCTTTTTTTTACAATTAGGTGCAGTAAAACCATTATGAAGCAAGTGAAGTACAGAGTAAGGATGACATACAAGCATGGGGTAGAGTTTATACGTTTGAATAGATTCGGTTTGGGTGTGTTAACAGTAAAGTGGAGAAGCCTGTTTTGTGCACAAAACAGGTGAAATAAGGTATAGAAAAGGTCCAATAGGTGTAGCCAGCAATACAAACAAGAGGATAACGACTGATTGGAAACTTTGATGAGTTGACGGAAAGCAGGAGGTATGTAATAGCCTCAATCAACATGATGTTGTTTTCAAGGAGTAACAGTATTTAACACAACATAAATTCCAGAAACAACTGCTGTCCTCACAGCGTCATCAAGTGTTCCCCTTTGATGCAGGCTGAGAAACCGATAGGAACGTTGGTTTGGCATGCTCAATTCTGCCTTACGAGGTTATCAGTCAGCATCAGCGGGAAGATGGCCTTCTGGAACCGCTACAACGACTAAAGAGTCACGTGAGCCCTCTGACGTGCCAAGTGAGTCACCTCTAGAATCAAGTGAGTCACCTATCGTGCCTAGTGAGTCATCTTCATACTTAGGTGAGCCACCTGTCGCGTCAAGTAAGTCATCTACAGAATCAAGTGGTATAGAAGAATCTGTCAACATTCATCACGCCCTTACAAATCACGTCAAGAAGCCACCACACTTATGATTAACGAAGCACAGGTGCAGCAAGTGGAACGAATGGTGAAGTGCAGTAAACGTGTTCTTTTATCAGTGCAAGGTGGTGACAATGTGACTGTGCCAATACCACAGGACTAACGGAGCCGTTCTGACCCAAGAAAACCTTCTGACCTAGGTGTTGTGAATGAATGTAGCGACAATGTCTGGTACACTATGGCTGTGAAAGGTAGCATACTGTATGACCCTGTGAAGTGAGTTAGTCTCTGATCGTGTGATTAGTTTGATTATGCCCAGTCTTGTGAAGAGGTTCACTTCATGGTCTTGTGAATTTAAGAGGTTCATTCACTCGTATTCTGAAGTGAATTATTACTTTATCTTGTGAAGAGGGCTTGCTATTCCCTGGTCATGTGAAGGAGGTTGTGCCCTGGTCTTGCGAATGGAGTTATTTCGTGGTCTGGTGAAATAGGTTATTCCCTGGGCTTGTGAAGGGGGTTATGTCCTGGTCTTGTGAAGGGACGCATTCCACATTCCGCATTGTGAACGCATTCCCTGGTCTTGTTAAGGTTATTTCCCCTGGTCCTGCTACCCGTGTCGCCAGCACCCCATTTCTGGTCGTAAGAGGCGACCAAATTAGGCAACCTCTTTCCGTGGGTTGGGGCCCTTTGTCAGTGGATTCTGGTAGTTGAGAGCACAAGTTCCAGAAATATTGTTCACGTGTCCAATACATCACTCCGACCCTTATTTCACCATGGCGGGTGGCAGGACGGGCCAGGTCCTATCAATCGTCTGGTCATTTCAAGCCATGTGCATCAAAATTATATTGCACAAGTTTGTCAAACTGTAACAATGATTTGACTAAAGTTTCAAATGATTTGTTTTGAACTTGGTCAAATGTTATATTAGTTAAATTTCAAATGTATAATATACAAATATGTACTTTGCCTACACTCGCATGCCCACAATGATTAATTGTTTAATTCTTCTCTGCTTGAGTGTATCATCCAATTATCCTTGGTGCTGTCGGGCACCCACTTTCTTTATGACACTTCATGGTGTGTGGGGACGTGGGATGATGAAACTTTGTACACACCAACACATCTTCATCAACCTCCCAAACAAGTTGAATACTGGCCAAGATTTCTTGTAATTGAATTGAATCACTTAAACTAATTTCAAAAGGAGAGAATGATATAGCAATGATGTTAAGGCTTTCAAACGCATGAGGTCTGGATCACTTCTAATAGAATGTGCCAAAAGACAGCAAGCAACTAACCTGCTATCAACTGATACATTGACTGGACTTCCAGTTTCAGTAACTGTCCATTGGTCCCTCAATTCAAACAAAGGCATTGTTAGATGTCGGGATACCTTTTGGAGGATTTGACCAATATCCTTGCCACACTTAATCACTCATTCTCATGATATAACGGAAATCCTTTCAGCGTTCAGAAATTCAGTTTTACATCATATCGTTCGACAAGCAGCTGTACGGCTACACCAAGGTACATGTATGCTCTGAACAGTACCAAGAGTGAAGAAATAAAGGTAACACGTTTACGAGAAGGGGTTTATGAGCTGTATGTCTACATCTACTACTTTCCAAAGTTTTTTCCTCAGTTTTTATTCCTACTAATTTAAAGCTGCAGTGAAATGATTCCGATATTTTTGTATTTAACTGATAAAGGGAGAAAAACAGATGTACTATATGAACAATTGGACAGTTGCCAAAAATAATCTGAGTGGAACATCATTGAAGATGTTTTGTATTGGTTGATAATGATGCATCCATTGTGTGATAATATGAATATCACTAAATCGACCTTAAGTGTATCTGACTGGAATATTTTTTCCGAATAAACACGTTTTCACAAAAAATATTGTTTAAACGTTTTAAAAGTACTGTCATATTCCAAATGGCCAAAACATGAAAAAAATGATTGAGATACTGTTGTCATGGAAATATAAACCTTTATCATATGTCATAGATTGTGAGGTGTAATCTATCGGACAAAACTCCCCTTAGCAAACAGTCCCAAGCATCACTTTTGTTATAGTGCAAAGCATTTCAATACGTTTCTTTGCAACTTCATTTATCTAACAAACCTATTTATTTCAATATGTTTCCAAAGTGCACCGAAATTCTATCCCCTTTCTTTAATGTATACAGAAATCATCCCCTCTAATTATACGCCCCCTCCAGGCAGGACCCTTTATCCCCAGCGCTGTCTATAAATGTCAATTAACAACCTCCTTACATCGCCTGATGTTACGTATGTACATGCATATGGGTCACTGACTTTGCACCACGTTACATAATTCCTCTGTCTTTAAAACCTGACTGGCATGGTCAATCAGGGGGACGGGCTCTGATCATCTACAGAGGCGGATGGATTGTACGGCTAGTCGTGGCGTCGGCCAATGCCGTCGCTTCACAAACGACTACGTCGACGATGAAAAAATCGCCGTCCTACTTCCTGCCTATGTCTAAGTGACAGAGAGGGTCTCCGCATCGGAAACCATGGCCACTCGGTCCCGGCGTGCGTTCTGTCATGTAATTATCAACCTTTACCCTTTCGACTTATTTCAAGCCATCATTAATAAACATAGCTGCTGTCGTCTTAAGTTCACCCCTGAGTTTTGTCTTCCGTTATCACCCTTGACTGGCGTACCATCTGAGGGCGAATCATTAGCTCTTGGACACTTTGTAAAGACAATTGAAAGGCAATGGTGTCAATGTGCAGGTACCAAATGAACGTTGCATAAATAAACTGAACAAAACACTTTCGTTCCAACACTTTACAACCTACCTGAATATTAAACTTTGTTCTTTCCACATGTTCGTCATATTTAAATTGTGATTATATACTGAGGAAC